TCCGTTACGGTTAACATAGAAAACAAGGTGCCCCTCAAAATCATATATCGTCTATGATTAAACCCTTAGAACCAGTTACTTCCGTTACGGTTAACATAGAAAACAAGGTGCCCCTCAAATTCATATATCGTCTATGATTAAACCCTTAGAACCAGTTACTTTATTTGCCACAGATCGAACTGTACCACAATTTAAAAACAGCTAATTATAAAAGATCTGGATGTAAGAGCTTAATAAACAGAAAGACCCGGCATGGCCAGGTGGTTAGGGCGCTCGACTAGCAATCTGAGGGTTGCGGGTTCGAATCCCCGTCACACCAAACATGCTCGCCCTTTCAGCCGTGGGGGCGTTATAATGTGACGGTCAATCCCACTATTCGTTGGTAAAAGAGTAGCCCAAGTGTTGGAGGTGGGTGGTGATGACTAGCTGCCTTCCCTCTAGTCTTACACTGCTAAATTAGGGAGGGCTAGCGCAGATAGCCCTCGTGTAGCTTTGCGCGAAATTCAAAACAAACAAACAAACATTAATAGTGCTGTCTGTTGTATGTCCATATAACTACTTGACAGGGAGTGGATTGATCTTCATCAAGAATTGGTATGGTGGTTCATTAAGTCCATGCACAGGTACATACAAATTTTGAATTAAAAAATATATCAGTCGATTTATTACGGCTTTTTGAAAAGGCGAACCTTCCTGAAGTCTGATTTACTTTTCGACCAATTTAATGGAAGTAATATTTTCAATTTTTTATATTGCTCTGATTTTCTGTCTATCTATAACTCTCTCCAAACTATAACAGATAGCGACGAGGAGTAACACAGAAATACAACTAATCGCTTGTTGCTTACGTTAAAAAATTGTGTTTAGTGCTATAAAGTGCTACGTATTTAAGCTTCTAATTGTCGTGGAAGTCAGAACTACATAAAAAAATAACTTATTATAGGAGGTTATCTTTAGCGGTTTATAGTGACCAAAATAATGAGATATTTTCAATTCATAAGAGTACAAATGTAGAATCGTCTATTCGCAAAGGATAGTACTTATTACACTGGGGTTTGAGTTGGGATCTCAATTATTTATTACACTGGGGTTTGAGCTTTGGTCTCAATTATTTATTACACTGGGGTTTGAGCTTTGGTCTCAATTATTTATTACACCGGGGTTTGAGTTGGGATCTCAATTCTCGAAGATTTTTGCAAAAAAAAACATTTGCCAAAAATGAAAAAAAACAACTACATGTGCTTGATTTCTGTGTTGGTTACTGAAATCGTTCGTTAAGTAATTTGTTATATTCACCTGCTTAGGTAAATATTAAGAATTTTTAATTAAAGAACAGCAAAATTAATTGAAATAGTTTATGATCACCAACAAATTTGTTACTATTAGTATAAATTTAGACGTTAATAAATCATAAAAAAATATTTGTTTACCTTCCTAATTTTGTAATAATCATCTCTGTTCCCTGTTCGAAAAACTTGTCCCATAATTCCTTGTTTTCCAGGTAGCATTCGGTGTTGTTGAGTTCTTCGCAGTTGCACAGTACACTAGAGCACGTATTGGGATCGGCTTTCTTCTGGCGCTTATTCTGGGAACCTTCAGACATAAAACGACTTCCAATGCTCTCGTCAGATGACATAAATACTCCATCGTCTTCTTTAATCGACGACGAAATCCTCATGTCGTTGTCGTTTTCGTCTAACTTAAGGGGCAGGGATGGACGTGAAGATTCAGTGAGGATTTCTTCAGGTGAAGATGGTGCATACTGTAGTTCTGTGTTAACATCCTCCGATTGATGGTGCTCAAGAGGGGTTGGAATTTCTGAAATACGTGATAATAAACACTGGATTAGTAAATGTAAGAAAACTGTTAATATTACAGCAAAGTGAAACAAACAGTATAACCGTTGCACGTTTAATTGAAATTGAAGTGTTTTCCCAGATCATAGACTAATCACATGTTTAAGTTTGTTTGTTTGTGTATAAACACGAAGCTATACAGTGGGCTGTCTGTGTGCTCACCGCTGGTATCGAACCTGGTTCCTAACATGTAAGCCATCCAGTTTACCAGTGAGCCACTAAAGAGCAGTTATTTAAGTACAAAATAATTGCCTTCCTGGGTAACAGTAATACCAAGTTAACACAGAAGTATTCATCCCAGTATGCGTATCTTTAGGTAAAAATAAGGAGTATATAAGGAGTATTATATACTTACTTTAAAACAGTTTGTTTGTTTGAAGTTAAGCACAAAGCTACACAATGGGCTATCTGTGCTCTGCCCACCATGGGTATCGAAACCCGGTTTCTAGCGTCGTATGTCCGCATACATACCGCTGTGTCACTGGGGGGTGGGGGGAGCTTTAAAACAGAATTATCTTTCTCCAACATATTTTGAACAATAAAGAAGATTAAAGTATTTCTAAACATCTTATTTTATAGTACCAATATCTATATGAAAAGTTAAAAATACTTTGCTTGTTGCATGTCGAAACCAAAGAGAGACCTTTTTCTCAGCCGAAAAGTTCTTCGTACCGATTGTTAACACTCTAAATTTTTTATGAAAGGCTATTTCATGTTAATTCATTTAAGAAACATTAATCAGTATGGCTAGAGAGGCACTGAGGCTTTTTACGCCTGACAATAGATAAAATTATGCTTGACTGTATGTGTGTTTTTCTTCTAAAAAAATATAACTCACATGTTAAGGTAAACTAAAATCACTATCCTAAATAAAATTAACTTTCGTTTAAGTTAAAAACAGAAATGTCTAACATGAAATGAATAATACAACAAGATGGTAAAGGGAAAGGAAAAAAAGAGAGAGTAATCATTATGCTGGAAAGTAATGAAAAACCACTAAAGAAAGGACCACGAGATTGTAAGTAAGAGATGGGACCAAATTTAGCTATTCAAAGAATAATCTGACAGGGAAAATAAGATAAAAAGGGGTCATTCAAATAGTACAGATGAAAATACCGATGTGTAAAATTTTTACTATTTAAAACCTTTTATATTTAACATATTTTAATAAATATTTGCAGAGTGAATTACTATTGTTTAAAACTGGTATTTTACTGTACTTAGGATTACACGATCTGAAAATTAATATTTCAGGATTTCTTGGAATATTAACTATAACATTAATACGACGAGGATTTCCAGAGTTATCGCAAGTTTATATTAACGAAATGGGATTTTGTTCGTTTAACACCAACTTTTCATGATTCGCTCGCTTATATCACTTTAACCTTGATATTTTATGGTATCAGCCAGGGAGTATTTCAGTGTAACACAGATAAAGGCTAATAAAGTCCGCTGACATTCTAAATAGGCCCGGCAAGGCCAGGTGGTTAGGGTTCTCGACTCGCAATCTGTGGGTCGCGGGTTCGAATCCCAGTCACACCAAACATGCTCACCCTATCAGCCGTGGGGGGTGTTATAATTTGACGGTCAATCCCACTATTCGTTGGTAAAAGAGTAGCCCTTAGAGTTGGCGGTGGGTGGTAATGATTAGCTTGCCTTCCATCTTTCACTGCTAAACTAGGGACGGCTAGCGCAGATAGCTCTCGTGTAGCTTTGCGCGAAATTCATAAAAAACAAACAGACATTCTAAATCGCACTTGAAACACCAAGTTGGATAACTTCTACACACTGATTTTTTATGATTTAATATTAATTTTTGTTATTCGCATGGTTATTCCATTTGAACATCGTGTCTTTATTGTTGTAGTCAAGGATTATTTCGTAGTACCATATCGATTTATGATTCTAATGATTATCTTCAGACTTTTTTATGGTTCCCAGAATTATCTTAGTTGATATTAGTAAATTAAAGTTTGCAAGATTATCTTCCTTTATATATTTTATTTTTATATTCATATCTTACGATACCTGAGATTACATCAGTTAAGCGTGTGCGTTTTATGATTTCTAGACTAACTGTTTAAAATTCGTATTTCATGAACAGCAAGATTATTGTAGTTAAATAATAAAAGTTTATGGGACCATAGGTTTATATCAATCATACACTTATAGAAATAGATTCAATGATAATATTTTCTTTCGTCTCCCCGATGGGTCGTCTGTAGATTTGTTGACTTACAACGCTAAACTCTGAGGTTCGATTACTCACGGTGGACAGAGCGCATATACCCTATTGTATATTTCTACACTAAAACGAACAAAAAAAATCATTTTTTTTAGTTCTCCTGGCTTCTCAGTTTAATTCAGATATATTATGGATTTTGAATTCATTTCAATTTCACATTGACATTTTATAATTTTAGGGAGTCTTTCAATCTAACAATCATAATTCATGGTTTTTGAAATTTTGTCTGCTGACAATTTATATTTCAAAGTTATCAAAGTTATCTAAGTTGGATATTTATATTATTCTGCTTGTGATGGCCTTGCATAGCCTGGTAGTTAAGGTGTTGGACTCGCAAACTGCTAGTCACGGTTCGAATCCCCGTCACCAAACATACACGCCTTCTCAATCGTTGTGGCGTAATAAAGTGACAGTGAATCCCACTATTGGTTGGTAAAGAGTAGCTAGCTCCATACTAGCTGCCTTCCGTCTATTGTATTACTGCTTAATTATTGACGGATAGCATAGATACCCCCCGTGTAGCTTTTCGCGAAATTCAAACCAAACTGCTTGTGATATTATATCAGTTTGATTGTTCAGCGGTGGCTCAGCAATAATAAAGAGGGCTTATAACGATAGAATTCGTGGTTCGATACAATTGAGTAACTTTGCGCTAAGTAAACGTAATTTTGACATTAATAATTTATAATTCTCAAGGTTAAAGAGCATTCATTACTTTATATTTCGACCCAAGCGTGGCCTAGTGCTTAGTGGAGATCCGGTGTCTCTGGTTTGAGACGTCGTGCTACCAAACATGCTTCGCATTTTCCCTATGGGTGCGTTATAAGAATGTGTACCAGGCGACAGATGCTGCAGACTAGTTATCTTCCCTCTTGTCCAGGGGGTCCTGCATGGCCAGGTGGTTAGGGCGCTCGACTCGCAATCTGTGGGTAGCGGGTTC